TCGATTTTTCATACCCCGTGAAAATTCCGATTTCCAGCTGTCGGACTGAAAAAACGCGGCTTGAAATTTGTCGGACAACAATACTTTTTGACTGAATTAATTATTTACAATTAATTTTACTAAAAATTACCTATGTGGTAATTGATTTTCCATACCCTGTTATTTTGGCATGTTTCGACCGGTAGACATGTCAATGTCGGAAGAATTTCTGTCGGACAAATTTAAATCGGCATTTGCAACAAAATTTCCAGTTACTTAAGCTAAAAATAAAAGATGTGGTCTTGACTTTTCAAGACCCCGGGAAATTGACATGTTTTTGGACTTTTCCGAATGGAAAAGCGGAGGAATCGAGAAAAGTCGCAGAGGAAAAGTGTGGTAGACTCGTCAAAACGAGTTATAAACGCTCCTCACGAGTTATAAAGTAGGTATGTGGTAATTAACTTTCCAGGGGGAGGGGGGCTGTACTGTGGATGTGGACTATAAACTTTGTCTCGAGGAAGTGCATATATTTCAAAGGAGCCTTTGAGGAAAAGGTGCATTTCCGGTTCAAGGTTTTTTATTGTGATGGGAACTGAATCACCAAAATCCAAATAAGCTTCTGATAAAGACAAAAATTGTTCGCTCGTTCTCTCGAGGTACACACCCACACACACACACCCCGTACATCAAGGTGTTTAATCTTCCAGGTGCTGATAGCCAACAACGGGATAGCGGCAGTGAAGTGCATGCGCTCCGTCCGCCGGTGGTCGTACGAGATGTTCAAGAACGAGCGGGCCGTCCGATTTGTCGTCATGGTGACGCCCGAGGATCTCAAGGCCAACGCCGAGTATATCAAGATGGCGGACCACTACGTGCCCGTGCCCGGCGGCACGAACAACAACAACTACGCCAACGTGGAGCTCATCGTCGACATCGCCGTCAGGTGCCAGGTCCAGGTGAGGAACTTCGAGAATCGGTGGCGCCAGATGGGTAGGCTTGAAAATACCTAAATTTCCCCAAAATTCCTTATACAGCATCATTTAGTATCCAGCGGTATGTAGATATAAAGAATTAGGATGAATCGTCGGTCGAATCCACCAGACATATACCGGTTTCGAACTGATACTGGCTGCTTGTTAAAATCTCCCATTTCCCTAATTTCAAAATCCCCAAATCTGGCATCATTGAATCGAGAATTCGAAGCGAGGAACCGACGGTTCGACAACGTTCGTTTTTGTTCGCAGGCCGTGTGGGCCGGTTGGGGTCACGCCTCGGAGAACCCCAAGCTGCCCGAGCTGTTGCACAAGAACAGCATCGCCTTCATTGGGCCCAACGAGAAGGCCATGTGGGCCCTGGGGGACAAGATTGCGTCGTCCCTGGTCGCCCAAACCGCGGAGGTGCCCACCTTGCCCTGGTCCGGTTCTGGTGAGTACGATTAATTTTTTTTTATTCCAAGGAAAATTAGTAATGCCGCAAGTAATACATCGTTTTTTTTTTCTGAAAATGGTGAGGAGCCAAGGTGAGAATAATTACTACATTTTTGGTATGTTTCAATATTTATTTTACAAATTAATTTTTGTAATAGTGGCACGTAATTATAATTTACAGATTACTGCAAATGTTAAATTTTTAAATCGATTAATATCGAATTTCTCCTCTTCAAACTTTATTCGGGTCGCTTACTCGTCAACGTATCTAAAAATAAAAATATGTATGTTACCCAGTTCAAATTAATTTGGCTTTTTGGAAAATGAAAGAGGAAAAAAATGTTTGTAATTAATTTTTTTACAAAATACGACTAGTTACAAATCGAATGAATCATGATTATTATTGGAAAAATCGAAAAAATCGTCAAAAATGGGGTTAAAAAACATTACTTTTAAGGGAATTTTTTTGGGGTCTTTAAATTGGGTATAGGACCTTCATAATCGGCTCAAGAAAACTTCATGTATTTTGAAAAAAAATTTGCAAATTTTCAAAATTTTGCACAGCAAAAACCAAGGCCCTTGGATACTTGAAAATTTAATCAGATATAGACGGGCTCTCAAGCTCTCAAACGTTTTTTAAAAAATTCAAATCCGTCAATTAGGAGAGCTCTGGCGATTGTTTAAACATTGGTCGAATTTTTGTACTATAATTTTGTACTTTTGTAATATAATGAGTTAATTTCTCATTTGCTTATATTTTATACAGTAAATAATATTTAAATTATACTTTAATCATAAAAGGAATGACGATTAAATTAATAATTAATTACTAATTTCCGACATATTTTGAAAATAATTGTTGTTTAAAGAATTTTAGAATATTTAAATAAATTTGTTTTTGATCTTTGATAAACAGTATATAAATTTATGCACTGATCTTTGACAGTAAAAAAATAAAGTTGATAATTAAAGTAAGTCTAAAGATAAATAATTATCGGACTGTTGAAAGACCAATAATTATTAACGATAGGCATTTGAAATACGCTAATTGTTTTTTTAAATCGCGATACAACGATTTAAAAAATTATCATCAAAATCTGACCTCTAGAAGCTGAGATATTAAAAAATTTTAGGCGCGTCGCGGTTTTGAACTCGCCGATTCAATTTCGAGTAGGCCGAAGCGGCCGCGCTCACTGCTTCCCCCACCACCACCGCCCGTACGATTTTCTTGAATTTCTCGCTTGCATAAATAATTTTACGCGCGTTTTAAAATAGGTTGCCAATGAAGAAAAGTATTGCAAACTTAGACCTGGTAAGTACTCGAAATACCGAAGGTATTTTTCGAATGGATGTCCCTATACATTTAGTGTAAATGACGGTTAACTTTGATCGGCTATGACTACGTGTGTGACTACTAATTGACCAATCGGTCTGTTTTTCTTTAAAGAAGCATCTTTCCAATAACTTTTAAAACCTGCTTTAAAAAATTTGATTTGATTCAATATTCACAAAGTTATTTTAATTGTTTATAAGTACAAAAATTCGACCAAAGTTTAAACAAGAGCCAGAGCTCTCCTAATTGACCAATTCGAATCTTTCAAAAAACGTTTGAAAGTTTGAGAGCCCTTCTATATCTCGTCACCTCAGAGTTATACTGTTGTATGTCGCATTTTTGTAATTTTTTAGTTATTAGCGCTACAAAGTTGTATGTCGGTTAAACTTTTTTTCTGTGGAGGCACAAAGTTGTATCTTAATAGTTTTGATGCAGGCAACCAGAATTATAAAATTGTATGCATCCAATACAACGTTTTTACGGTTGCATAGTGGNTTATTTTTTTAAAGGGGGCAGTAACCCACCTCAGGCACGTCACTGGTGTGTGAAATGGATAACAGATATTTTTGTTTTATTCACCATAACTAATGAATTATTAATACCAAATTTCAGTTCAATATATGTTGGTCTTTTAGATATTAAGAAAAAATCTTAAAAAAAGTTTGTTTTCAACACCCTATATCTCACAAACGAAGCGTTCTAAGACCTACGTTTATAGGAACTTTTTTTATTGAAAAATGATTCTCTATCAACTGTTAAAATCCCACTACAAAAAACTGACTCACCCTGTATAAGTTTATGCACTTACCTTCGATACAATAAAAGAATAAAGTTGATAATTCAAGGAAGTTTAAAGATAAATAATTATCGGACTGTTGAAAGACCAATAAAATTATTAACGATAGGCATTCGAAAATACGCTAATTGTTTTTTTTTAAATCGCGAGACATTGATTTAAAAAAAAATCATCAAAATCCGACCTCTAGAAGCTGAGCGCTCTCTGCTTCCCCCACCATCACTATCAGTACTATTTTCTTGAATTTCTCGCTTGCATAAATAACTTTAACGCGTTTTAAAGTAGGTTGCTAATGAAGAAAACTATTGTAATCTTAGACCTGGTAAGTACTCGGAATACCAAAGGTATTTTTCAAAAAATTAGCCCGGATGTCCCAGTACATTTAGTGTAAATGACGGCTATAACTNAATTTCTATTGTACAATTTTATTTTCTAAAAATAATGTACTCTTGTTAGATCTTCCTAATGTGGACAATTTTCGAGAACAAAGGCTTTTAATTAAACTCCTACAATATTACACTATAAAATAATTGACTTTTCTCAAAGTAAGCTTGAGCTTTGAGAAAAGTCACTTATTTTATACACCGTAACCAAAACCACCAAAAAATAATTAGACCATCGTATTTGGCATCCTTAAAAACCTCGGAAAACCAAATTTCATAAAAATATTTCGCACCGTTTGGAAATGATCATAAAAATGTTATTTAAAAAAATTTATTTTGTCTATGTATCTCGAAAACAAGAGGAGATAGACATACAGTTCATAAGACAAAAAATTCTTTTTTTTTTGACGTACTATCACCCCCTTTATTTACGGGAGGTCTTTCTGAAACACCCTGTATTGTATATTTATATGGAATTTTGCTTAATACATGAAAATACCTTATTAGAAATTATAAATACACGTACACATTTTTTACGAAATTTGTTTCATCTTTTTTTGTCGGACTGANTAATATTTTAGCTATACTCTGTATACAGAGTGTAACTAAAACTTTCGTCGAAATTCTACGTCACAAATAAACGAAAATTATACACATGTCAACGCGTTACTCCGAAAACATGCTATCTCGAATTAAGTTTGGAAAACATGCTAGCTCAGATCTTTTTAAGGAAAACCATGGTATCTCACACAAAATTAAATTCGACTAGAAATGTAAGTTGCCTGCATTGGCGTTGAAATACACATTGAATGATTGAAACCGTGCATTTATAATAAACTTAAATGGGCGGTGACTATTAGACGCCTTCATTATAGCCATCTTTCTCTGTCGCACGGATTTCTATGACTTACTTTATCGCTCTCACCTAACGGCCGATGTACCATGGGGACTTTCCGACCCTGTATATCATCTGCTCTGCGCCCATCGCATCGATATCCAGCAGATCATAAAGTACCGGTAATAAAACAGTCGCATACTTGCATTTCATTTCCAAAGTCTATGCAAGCACGCGACTACCGTACTTTTAAGAAGCCATTTGTTATTATTGAGGTGCAGTAAGAACGATTCGGACCCGGAGTTTGGGGCCTAGCCTGGTCCACTATGTAATCCTTTTTATTGCAGTCTCCTTAGAGTCATTAGACAAATAAAATTAGTTTCAGAATAAATTGTGCATCCCAGATTTTGTGAAAAAAAAATAAGTGTATCAAGAGTAGTGAGTATAACTCAGATAAGAGTGCGCTATTAATTTTGTCGTTTATAACAGAAAGTTAACAAAATTAATTGAAATCGAATAATTTTTAATAATAATAAACATTTTTATATGCACTCACTATTCTTTTATAATTTGTTATTTCAAGAAACGTCGAGTAGTGTACGTGTTGCAGCATACCTACCTACTGCATATTATCCTATTTCTCGAAAACGAAGAAATACGTATTCATTAATTTTTATAGGAACATTTTATGGACATTAATTAGTGACGTATAATACATCGGTAGAGTTAAGCCAAGCGACTCATTTACACCTTGTATATCGATATGATCAACTTGATAATAAAATGACAGCTACCGAAATCTGTCAACAGTGACAGATAAAAGGTCAGCGTTAATATTACACCATCCTGGTTCGGGTAAACAATGTGTGATGGGATGCAGGGGGATTAAAAAAGATTTCTCGATAAAGACTGGCCATACGTTTACGTTTATATAATTGCACGCGTTTACTTTTAGGCCCAGCATGTCCCAAGGTACGGTGATGATCCAGAACAGGCTGGAAGAGAAGAACTTCACCGTCGCCACTCCGGAGGAGTTCGTTAAAAGGTTCAATGGAACGAAAGTTATAAACAAGGTAAGTTTCTGAACGTTTCTTCAATTTCGACGCTATTAAAATTCGACTATATGTCGAATAGATAAATATATTTGTACATATAATAGTCCACAGTACAGGCCCCCCCTGGAAAGTTGATTAGAGATGTTTTAAAATCTTATGAGCTTTGACCTTCATATGCGCAGAAACATAATTCCGACCGTCGCCTAAATTATTCTACGTCCTAAAAACATTACACC